GGGCTGAGCCCAGACGGGCAGGTGTGCCGGCCGTGGCGGCATCCCCACACTGGCTGCGTGTCCACCTGTAGGCGAGGGAAGGCGGTCAGTGCCCTCAGCGTTTGACAGCGAAAGCGAGAAAATGTGCTCTGCGTGAGGACCCACAGGCCCTGACCATCTGGACTCCCTGCCAGGCAGGAACATCATGTTGCCCCCCACACCCCAGGGAGTGGCCCCGACAACTGTCTTTTTATCCAAGAGGAAGCCTGGGGTGGAAGCCAAGCGGGGGCCAAATTTGATTTTGCACCAGCATCTCGTCACTGCCCTGGGCCGAGTCACTGTCAGCTCGGCCCACTGGCCGCCTTCCTTCTGTTCACCGATTAAAACATCCAGGCCAGGCCTGTAGCAAGTGTGGATTTTAGGTGCCCCTCCGCTCACCTCGGTGTCCCTGACATGGCCCCCCACTACCAGCCCTCCCGCCGGACAAGCAAGGGGGTGGACGCAGGGAGCCTCCGTGCTGGGAGGAAACTGCTCCGGGTGGACAAGACCCGCCCGCCAGCCGCGAGGCAGGCGCACTGCTGAGGCTCTGGCGGACGCGTCCTCCTCCCTCACTGATGGGAAACAGGAGGCATCTCCTCGGTGGCTGATTGACAGGGAGGTGTTCGTTTCCTTTGAAAACCACACGAGAAACAGGCACACGCAGGGTCACTTCCGTGGACACCACAGGAGCATGGGCTGCGGCTCCGTCCCTGGAGGGTCATGTGTGCCTTCCCGAGTTATCACGTGCCCCAGGGCTGGCAGGGGCACCCGCGCCTGTCTGTCTCAGCCTGCGGCCAGGCAGTGTGTCCCAGAGCCCCTTCCTGGTGCTGAATCATCAGGTGTCTCTGTCCTGGGCTTGTGCGGAGTCCCCGGAGCAGGCAGGGCAGGGACCACCTCCGTTACCTGTATTCGTTCACTCCCCAAGAGGGTCTGTCGTGGCCTCTTGTTGGGCCTCTGGAGCGGGCCTTGGGGTAAACATGGAGCCCGGTGCCAGTGGGGAGCAGACCACCTCGTGGGTGTGAGTGGCAGCGGCTTCAGACACAGGGAGGGGTGTCTGAGGGGAGAGGGCCCGGTCTCCAGGAGTCCCCGGAAGGCGGGATGGGCAGGTCCAACCTGATGAATTCAGCCCTGCATCCACGCTCCACCCTTCTGAAGCCATGGGGGTGCCCAGTTCCCTGTGT